ACACACACACACACACACACAAACACACATACACACACTCTCACACTCCACTCTGCCTTCCCTTTCCTTCCGTTCATCCCTCCATCTTTCACTAATCTTTTAAAATTTCATCTTTCACTTATCCTTCTCACCTTCCTCACTCCTAACACATCTCCACTAACCCCCATTCCCTCTCCCCCTTTCATGGGCATAATGATTAAATGACCTTACTGTTTGTGTGTTTGTTTGTTGTTGTTTTCTTTTACTGGTTTGATTCGGGGGGAGGAGGGTGAAGGGGCAAATGGAGGGGATCCTGGGAATCAGAGCAACAAAATACAATCGGTATTGGGAGAAAAGGGGAGTTGGGATTATATATTAAGACGGGGTGGAAGGTGTGAGTTGTGTGTGTGTATGTGTGAGAGAGAGAAAGAGAGAGGGGGGGTGGGGGATAAAGAATTGCTTGGAGAGACTGGGGATTGGGGGGGAGGGGCACACACAAAGCTTCCGAGCAGTTAAAAGATATAATGTCCATCGAATTGGTTTGCCACCTGTGGAAATCAAACTCCCCCTATCAACATTATCTCCCCTTGGCTCCAACACGCAGTTTGTGGATTCCATAACGTCACGATTTCAATGTTTCGCATGCGCTCTCTCCGTACGACGCAAAACCCGATTTGCTTCCATAACGTCTACGTCCTTGGCGTTTTTCAAGGCTCGTGATTTCCTGTCCGAGTGCCAAGTCTTTGGAATACATGTAGTCAGAGTTAAATACAGAAACCCATCGACACGCCCGAGAACAATTAGTTTATGTTGTTTTTTCTGTTTGTCTTTCTTTTCTCGTTTTTGTGCGAGGTTTTTAAATAGGTAGTGTCAATTTTGAGATTTTGGGGTTTTATCGGGTTTTATTTTCTTTTATTTTTGGTGACGCAAACTGATATTCGGAACCAACACGGGATATAAACAGATCTGACCTACCAGTAGTGACACCCTCCAGCCACCCTAATATACAAAAGCCTCAATTACTGCTTCACACAAACTGACGAGCCCTTCAGGGCAACAACATAGCAGATAGTAACTCTCTGATCATAGGTGACGAAGACCGTGTAATAAAGCAGATGAACTGAAGGTACCGAAGAAACGAAACAAAAGGCGACAAGCACACACCAAAAAAATCTGCTGAAAGAATTATATCTTTTACAGTCCTCACCACGAACATGCTTCGGTTCGTGACGGTGACGTGAGTCGGGAGCATGTGTCGGTTGCTGCTCAAGTGACGTGTCGTTCCCAGCCCCCCTCCCATCCCACCCCATCCCCACTGTGAGGCGCAAGTTCCGGGGGGTGCGCGCGCACTCCGCGCCCTTGGCAAGCAGTCAACAAAGCCATACACATGTCGTTCTCCACTCACGGGGTCAGCGACCTTTGTCACACGACGACATAACGGGTCATTGTGCTACTCGTGTGTGTGTGTGTGTGTGTGTGAACGAATGGTTTGTTGTGACTGTTGTTGTTCAAACCACAGCATGGTT